TTTTGAGACGGAGTTTCGCTCTTATTACCCAGGCTGGAGTGCAATGGTGCGATCTCGGCTCACCACAACCTCCGTCTCCTGGGTTCAGGCAATTCTCCTGCCTCAGCCTCCCGAGTAGCTGGGACTACAGGCGTGCCCCACCATGCTCAGCTAATTTTTGTATTTTTAGTAGAGACGGGATTTCACCATGTTGACCAGGATGGTCTCGATCTCTTGACCTCGTGATCCACCCGTCCCGGCCTCCCAAAGTGCTGGGATTACAGGTGTGAGCCTCCGCGCCCAGCCGAACCCTTAAATCTTTTTGACGTGTATTTGTGTGACAGGGTCTCACTCTATCACCCAGGCTGGAGTGTAGTGACCTAATTATAGCTCACTACAACCTCAAACTCCTGGGCTCAAGCTCCTGCCTGAGCCTCCCAAGTAGCTGAGACCACAGGCATCAGCGGCACCACCACGCCCAGCTACATTTTGTATTTTTAGTAGAGACAGGGTTTCACCGTGTTGCCCAGGCTGGCCTTCAACTCCTGACCTCAGGTAATCTTCCCCTCTTGGCCTCTCAAAGTGCTGGGATTACAGGCGTGAGCCACCTCGCCTGGCCTTATTTTTAAATTTTCTGTAAAGATAGAGTATTCTTGCTCTATTGCCTAGGCTGGTCTCGAACTCCTGGCCTCAAGCGATCCTCCCACCTCAGCCTCCCAAAGTGCTGGGATTATAGGCATGAGCCGCCGCACCTAATTCCCTCAGATCTCTTTGGCACTCCCAAATCACCACAAACACCAGCTTTGCTTTTGGTTCACAAGCCTTTATTAAGTTGTCTTGGGGGAAAAGTTGGGGGGAGATCCATCATCACAGAAATGAGAACAGGGTCTCAGGATGGGGCTGCCAGACTCCCAGTCCTCCCCTGTCTTCTTTTTATTTTTTTAATTTTTTTTTTTTTGAGATGAAGTTTCACTCGGTAGCCCAGGCTGAAGTGCATTGGTGCAATCTCAGCTCACTGCAACCTCCAGGTTCATGCCAGGCTAGTCTTGAACCCCTGACCTCAAGTGATCCACCAGCCTCGGCTTCCCAAAGTGTTGGGATTACAGGCGTGAGCCACCATGCCCAGCCTCAATGCCCTCTTTTTTGTGTGTACCTATGGGTGGGGTCTCATTGGGGTCCCCTGGGATCTCTTACTTCTCTCCCGGTTTGGGGAACTCTCTTGGCCTTGGCTGCCCAGTGGGGCCTGGGTTAGGAGAGACTCTGACCTTAGAGATGGGGTGGCCAGGCCTGGGGCTGGGGCAAGGTCTGGGCGCCAAGCGGGGCTGGCAGGTGACCGGCTGCGGGAATGAGGTTGAATAAATGCTCTGGCCTCTCTGGTCCTTCCCGTCTCCAGATGAGTCCTCAGTCTTCTTTGGGGTCTCCCGGGGCCGGTATAGGACGTTGCTGTAGAATGCATTTCCTGGGATGGATGACAGAGACCAAGAGGGGACAGTGGCTTAAGAGAGCCTGGCCCTCTCTGGCTTACCTCTGGGGGCTTTGTCTCTCTCTCTCTCTTCTTTAAAAAAATTTTTAAACTTTTTTTTTTTCTGAGATGGAGTCTCCCTCTGTAGCCCAGGCTGGAGTGCAATGGCGTGATCTCAGCTCACTGCAACCTCTACCTCCTGGGTTCAAGTGATTCTCATACCTCAGCCTCCTGAGTAGCTGGGATGACAGGCTCACGCCACCACGCCCCTCTTATTTTTATTTTTTATTTTTTATATCTTTAGTAGAGACGGGGTTTCACCATGTTACCCAGGCTGATCTCAAACTCGTGACCTCAAATAATCCTCCTGCCTCAGACTCCCAAAGAGCCGGGATTACAGGCGTGAACTACTGTGCACAGCCTAATTTTTAATTTTTTGTAGAGATGGGATCTTGCTAGGTTGCCCAAACTAAGAGCTTTGTCTCTTGGCCGGGCGCGGTGGCTCACGCCTGTAATCCAAGCACTTTGGAGGCCAAGGCGGACGGATCACCTGAGGTTGGGAGTTCAAGACCGGCCTGACCAACATGGTGAAACCCCGTCTTTAAAAAAAAAAAAAAAAAAAAAGAATTTTGTCTCTATTTCTGAAAAATATGGGTATCGCATATGGGAGCCAGGCTTCCCCGCCTTCATCCCTCCTCCCTCCTTCCCCCAAACCAAAGCGGGAGCAGGGATGCAGTGGGTCTTTGTCAAGCAGGGTCTGTTCCTGCCTCCTCCGCCCACCCCATCTTACCTGGGCTGTTACCTGAGTCCCTTTGCTGGCAGTGGCGGCGGCCCCAGAACCAGGCGCCTAGCACCATTGCAGCCACACCCACGCTCCCCACCCCCAGCGGCACGAAGAGGAGTCCTGGGTGGGGGGAGAAGGGATGGTCTAAGCGGGAGGGTGGGGGCGGTGATAGGGGAGGAAGAGCTGGGGGAGGAACACTGGGCAGGGCTCACCTCGGAAGCTTGGGGTCAGGTTTCTGTTCTGTGGGGTATCATCTGCAGAGAGGAAATCTATGTTATGGGAGGGCACCAGGCTCCTGCACCCTCCAAGGACAGAGCTCTCAAAGGGGGACTTAAGTGTTCCTCCTTGTGCCAGGCTTTGTGGTTTTTGGGCAGGTGTTCACTCTGAACCTCAGTTTCCTTTTCTGAAAAACGAGGCTCCACAGAGCACAGTGACTCACGCCTATAATCCGAGCACTTTGGGAGGCCAAGGCAGGAGGATCACTTGAGGTCAGGAGTTCGAGACCAGCCTGAGCAACATGGTGAAACCTTGTCTCTATTAAAAAGATAAAAATTAGCTGGGCGTGGTGCTGCGCACCTGTAGTCCCAGCTACTCAGGAGGCTGAGGCAAGAGAATCGCTGGAATCCAGGAGGCACAGGCTGCGGTGAGCTGAGATTGTGCCACTGCACTCCAGCCTGGGTGACAGAGCAAGACCTGGGTGACCGTCTCAGAAAAGAGGAAGAAAAATGAGGCTCGTGGTCCCTGTCTGGGTGAGTCATTGTGGAAAAACTGCCGGCTGGGACTTGTCATCCTGAGCTCCGCCACCTTTGTCCTGGGCTCCTGTTTCTGTTTTTGTTTGAGAGTGGGCTCCGAGCCATGCCCATTCTACAGATGGGGAAACCGAGGCTCAGACAGCCTAAGTCTCTTGCCGAGGGTCCCCTACCCAGGAGGCAGCCAAGACCTGTTTGAACAAAGCCCTTTCTTTTTTTTTTCCTTTTTTTTTAGAGACGGAGTTTCGCTCTTGTTACCCAGGCTGGAGTGCAATGGCGCGATCTCGGCTCACCGCAACCTCCGCCTCCCGGGTTCAGGCAATTCTCCTGCCTCAGCCTCCTGAGTAGCTGGGATTACAGGCACGCGCCACCATGCCCAGCTAATTTTTTGTATTTTTTTTAGTAGAGACGGGGTTTCACCATGTTGACCAGGATGGTCTCGATCTCTTGACCTCGTGATCCACCCGCCTCGGCCTCCCGAAGTGCTGGGATTACAGG